TAATTCTGGTTATCAATTAATTTTCAGCTGGTACCAGCCAACATTTTACTTCTATTCTTTACATTTTCCCAAAATTATATGTACTTTCTACTCCTTAAATGTTTTTTTAAAAAAGTTAAGAAGTAGAAAGTCGTAACTTCAATTTCATTCCGGCTCCTTATTTTTAAGAAAAAATACTATCCTGATAAATTGTGCCTCCCAGATTGAGTGAAGTTAATTGTGGTTGGATGAGAAGTATAAATATACATCATTCTGACACAGTATTATCCATCACAGTTCATCACACTTTTAAAAAAAAAGTATTTTTGGAGAGGTCACCTCCCAATAAATGTCATTTTTAAAAGTCTAACCATTCATTTTTACTCAATACTTTTACTTTTTTTACTCAAGTATTTTATGTCAAAAACTTACATTTGATACTAAAGTACAAAATTTATACAACACTGCGTAAACTGTAATAAGTGGATCAAATGTTTACATTTCTGCCTTTTGTCAACATGAACTGAAGAAACAGGACGACTGCAGTGAGACAACTTACAGCTGGATTTAAGTTTAACTTTTATTTAAACTTCTTTAATTTATTTTTTATTATTTATTTAAGAAAAACTTGATAGTAAAGGAGTTTTTTTATTTATAGCATCAGAAAATGTTTAATGGTGGTGATTTTTTAAAGACATTAAGAAGCTATATTACACGCAGTTTGTTCCACAGCTGTGTCTAGTTGCACTTTTTCAAAATAAAACTGTCACGTTGGAATGGAAAGGATGTTTTAGTTGTTTTTTTTATTGTGTTTTGCTCTGAACCCAGAGCAGAAACACATCAGTTTAAGTATGTTAATTTATCACATTAAGCTCAGTTATCACAGGTTTTCCTGGTATCCTGCAGCCCAGATCTCTGCAGATTTCAGTGATTCCGCAAAAGAAAAATTAGCATTTTTTTAATCCCAGTTTTGCTCTCCTACAGCCAACTTGAGGTGGGAACAGAGCGTACAGAGGTGGGCAACGAGATAACGGGTGCAGCCGTGAATCAAGTTTCGTAAGCCGGTCCACATAAATAAGCTGTTTTCAAACGTTGGCAAAGAAAAGTGAAATTTTTTCTGCGTTTTGAGTTGCCAGCTCATTTCCTAACAGCCACAGTCCAGTGATCCAGTGAGACACTCGTTTAACTTCAGGAGTTATGTCAGGAAAGTTTGGGGATTTTAGAAAAGTTTTGCAACCAAACTAACAAACTGGATGATGATTTAAGCAAAGTGGTTCCTCTTCAACACACAGTCTGAGCTGCCCTCCCCCCCCAGTTTTCTGCTCTCCCAAACCCCAACTTATCAGACCAATTGCCTCACGCTGACCCCTAACACACAACTCCCAGCCCCCACTGCGGGGG